TTTGTAACTAAGGACTACAAATTCTTACGATTTGCACATTTTTAAAAATTGCAGGAGTGGCTAGCTAAGTAGCAAAGCAAAACTGTAAGGTGCCCTAGGACGTATGCTCCCAAGGAGGGTAAACAAAAACACATGCAAAGTGCCTTCTTAAGCACAGGATTTGCATTTTCTTAGCAGAATAAACTCTCTGCCTTGACTCTCTGTGCTCTCACTGGAGGTCATGGCTAGTGACAACTGGGAGCTGTTCCTGGAGTCTCTCTTGCCTTTTTAGGTTATGAGGGTCTCTGTGTGTTTAGGATAATATGATTGACAGCTCCACTCTGGCCCCAATTAGCACTCTATAATTTATTAGTTTCTCCTTTCAGATTATGCGCTAACTTCACAAATATTTCAACCACGGAAACAGCAGCTATCAAGTGTCTCTTTCCTGATCCAGCTCACTGTGGCTGCCATCAAATACAAGGAGGGAGCTGTGCAGGTCTGTCAAGAGAGAATAATCATTTGTGACTGTGTGCAACTGGGGCTGTCGCAGACTGTCTTTAGGACTTCATTGGTGGAAAAAAATAGTCGTTCCACTGGATTAGGTGTTAAGACTTAGTCCCTGCTGCAGGGGTATTGTGCGGGGTTGGAAGCTAACGTGCTGATTCTTCTGGAGAGGGTCTATGTTTGCCTAATTCTGTTGCTTGCATAAATACTGATGCTTCACTTACGTGCAGACAGCACTGATAGATAGGAAAGTTTACGTTCCTCCTAACTCCATTCCTTTGCTTCCTATTGCCAAAGTGCGAGGCCAGTGGAGCGAGTGCAAGAGAGAGGAGATGGGGTGAGCCATGGAGACTGGAGAGAAATGTGGAGGCAGTTTTGAACCTGAAGTCAGGGAGAGAAGGAAAAGAGCTGAGGAAGTCGGGGGAAGGAAGGAGGCCGAACCCAGCAGGAGTGCTTTCGGGCCAGGAGAGGTGGGAGCAAGTGTGCCATGTGCCACGCGGAGAGGGGGGATGAGGTTGGCTGTGGGGCGGCAGGGAGGGTGTTTGCCTGCCTCTGCCTCGCCCTCGCTAACCTCCCACTTGGTATTGCTGTTTCCCAATAGGACAGCTCTCCGTTTTGGTATTTACCCTGCCCTTGCCATTAATGTAAATAAGCAGCTGTCACGTCCTTGAAGAAACGCCCCAGTCCTCAGCTGGCCTGCGTTTCTGGGCTGCAGATGAGCTCCAGCCAAGAAAGGTTCCCGTGTGTCAGTGTGGGAGGGGGTCAGCAGGCTGGCAGGGTGGGTGCCCAGCCCTGTCCACCTCCATGTGGTGCGTGGCCAGGGGCTGCAGCACCCACGGGGCACAGGTGCCTCCATCTCCTTCCCTTGTCCTGCAGGAGGCTTCACGCAGGGAGCACACACAGGAGGCAGCAGCTATGCAGGTGCCCCCAGCTGCAGCACCTCTGGGTTTGGGCTCTGCCCGTTTTGTGCATGTTAATCACAGATTATCCCTGCGTGCGGAGACAGTAGAGTCACAGCAAAACTGACTCCTCCTATACGCTTACAGATGGACCTGGAGAGGGGCATCCTTCTAGTCTGAGTTGCTGGTCGCTACAGTGAGTTTAGAGACCATTGTAACCATGGTGGGAACTAAATTAGCAGTTTGGTTCCCAAGGCCACAACCTCCAAGCTTCAGAATGGTGTGAAGTGAGGCATTTTATTTTTCATTTTTTCTCTTTTTCTCTTTTTCTCTTTCTTTTTTCTCTTTCTCTTTTTTCTCTTTTCATTTTTTCCCTTTTCCTTCTTCCCTTTTCTTTTTTCATTGTCACTAACTAGCCCCTATTTCCCCTGCTTCCCTATGAAAAATTACCTAACCTACGAAGTAAATACCTCTGTACTCCAAATAATCACACCACAAAGTCTAGCTCCTTCTCCTGCTGCAACTGCTCCTCTGAGTGGCAGGCCAGGGAAGCCGGCCAGGACACCACAATCCCCCAGAGGAGCTGGCTCGCCTTCCTCCAATCAAAAGGGCATGTTAATTACAATCCTTGTCCAGAAAAAGCTGCATGAGAACTGTCAGTCAGAGCACCCTGATGCATCCAAAACCACCCGTAGCATTTTCATCCCTTCTAGGAAGGGACCAACCTTTAAGCCCTCGCTAGAACTTGTCATGAACTTAAATAGGACTTCAAAGGGAAAGCGAGAAGGGATAGCAGCCCCTCCTGACCCAAGGAGGAGACAGGACAGATACATTTCCCCGGAGACGGGCAGCACACAATCCACAGGAGGCATGGAGGATTATTCAGACCCTGCCTCTCCTCCCCACCTCCTCCTCCAGGGGCTCATATGGAAAACCCACTGGAAAAGAAGGCAGGAAGTAAGGAACAATATCTTAAACCTAGCTAGCATTAGCCAGCTGTGTCTACTGTAAATGCAAGAACACCTATATGTTTCTCTAAAGAGATCTATACTGCATTCTCCCAGTTGCTGCTATAAGCAAGCTCCTTGGTAAAGGTGGTGGAGATTGTGGCCATAAATAGTATAGCCAATCCCCACTTCCATCCTTTCCCTAAAAAAAAGAGCAGTATTTCCTTGTACTTTGCTAAGTTTCAGTTATTTTCTGCACGGGAAAGAAATGTCTGTAGTGCCCATCACCAGAGCTCACTCTACAAACCATTAAAAGTTGCTCACATTGAGCCCCGGCAGATACTCTCCCTATGCCTTATACTGCAACATTGCTGCAAAGCCAATTGCTTTACCTCCTTCCCCAGACTCTGCCCGAACAGGTTAGGAGATGCATGTGTTTGCTCCAGCTGGGCTAGTTTGTTTATTAGCTCCATAACTAGACAGCACAAGCCCCGTGGTGCTAACCTACGTGCGATCTTCACAAAATGGGCACCGTTAGTATCTGCCCTTTAGGCTGCAGGACTGGGCTCTTCCAGCCCCGCTCTTCTGTTGTATGACAAGCCTGTGGCATATAAGACACATGCTATATATATATGTAAGAACTGTTCCTTTGGTATTCACAGGCTACCTGCAAACATCCACAGGTAAGCAACTAACTTTGTGCTGGGTGCAGTCCCCCTAGGGACGGCAGCAGAACCCCCATGGAGGACAGCTCTGCAAGGATTAGCCAGAGTAGCGCTCAGATTGCAATCCCGCCAGAGTGGGAGCACTTTTTAAAAGTTGCTTATGAAGCACCTAACACCCTAAGCCACAGTCTTGGCTTTGGTGTTTGCCTGCTTTCACAATGCAACAATAATGAGCACTTGCGAGAACTGGTGTCGATACCAATAGTAGTGTATTCGTTGAATAAACTATCGTGCTTGAAAATGCTCCCATTCAAAAGGGATTGTAAGTACCAATGAAGTAAATGACTATTTTTTGCTTACACAAATGTTTTCAAATATATTTTGGCTGTATTGTCCAGTCCTCCTCATTATGAGGTGCAGAGGATAGAGAAAAAAAAGAAAGAAAAAAAGAAATAGTTGCAGTGGAGCACAGCTAACACTAGAGCTAGATTAATCTTTTCTTTCCTTAAAAAACTTTTAAAAAGTATAAAAAATAGCAAGTAGATGTTAACAAAGTGATACTGTCACCCCAAGCCTCTGCAACAATAAAGTTAGATGCCATTTTTAGTTACTCTTCTTCTGAAAAGTGCTGCTGCGTTCTTAACATGAACCGTAGAACATTTTTGGTTTAACTGGTAATATAAACCCTGAAGTCCTTCGCTTGCCCTCTGCAGCTTGTCTGGGATCTGGCTACTTGGAGGCCAAGGAGGAAATTCTCATGGGTATGTTTGGCTGAAAGAGTCACAGCAAGTCACCTGCTGCCATTTGCAGCGCTCTGGCTGGGGATGCTCTGCACACGCTGTGTTCCAGAGCAACTCCCTGCCAGCTCCCCGTAACATTTACTCATGCTACTTTATTTTATTCTTACTATTAAGATTCCTTTTCTTTCCCATAGCTGTAGTTATTGCTGAGCTGAAACCTAGGAGAGGCAACTTAGTTATTCATAGTGCCACCTCCAACACGTGATTAACGTTAACAGTAGTCTTCCCTCCCACGTTATGTCAAGAGTGCTGGAAGTTAACAAACTGTCTCGTCACAGTACAAAAGTTTATTTTCTACTGCATCGTTTGCTGAGGGACAGCCACTTCTCCCAGTGTCAAAAAGGTGACGTCAGGACTCTCCACTTGAATGCACCGAACTTTGTCAGTCCTCAAAGACATTACATTAAAAAAAAAAAGAACAAAGCAAAATATGATAGTGTTGGGATCAAATTCTTTACATGTAAAAAGCCAGCTTTTAGGTATAGGGGCAAATTGCCATTTCTTCACTGTTATTATTAATTAGTTATCACTCCGTAATAGTTAAAATCCCCTCTTCTATCAGGTCTGTTGAGAAATGTGTTGTTACACAATGGCATCCTTGCTTTAACCCGTCTTACAGATATATCATACACTAAAATATAGTATTGCTATACTCCTGCATTTTTTCTTCTTTTGTATTTATCACTATATTTTATACCCATGGAGAAAATATTTTGCACTGTTAGGATTTCTATTCAGCTTTAATGCAAAGTAATAAAATAACTCGCTTCATCCACACTACAGGAATTTTTACTGTTTCATCCGGAAGTTTCCAGTTTGCCTCATTTTTATTGTTATTTAGTTTTAATTCCTCAAAAAAGCACACAGGGTGAAAGAAGGAGATACTTTTAATGCAGCTTTCCTACACTTAAATAGACAACTTATTTCCCCCTTAAAAAAAAAAAAAAACTACTAAAGTGACAAAATGACAGCAACACATAGACAAAGAGAAATATTAGAGGCAACCCAAACCTATTGTCCCTTATGTGCCTTTCCTTCTGGTGTTCCCCTTAAAGGCTGTCGGGTTGGGGTGGAGCAGTTTCTTCACATTTCTCCCCCTTCCCCTTTCTTTAATAGAAATAGAAAACCTTTAGTAGGTTTTTCTTTCACCATAAAATGTTTCTTGTAAAAAAAAAAAAAAAAAAAAGGAGATATATCCAATGCAAATGTTGTGCCAAACGCTGAGAAGTGCCACCTTGGTTTTCATATTTCTGGAGTTTGAACAGTTGTCCCTGGAACAGCTGCATTTCTGTAAGCCCAAGGCAGGTGGCCCAAGCTAGACACTTGCCACTCATAACCACAAAGCTGAAAGATCTGACCAGTTTTTTGATAGTCCAAAAATGTTCAAGCACTCCCATCTTCTTCTCTTTTTACTTTTCTATAATGTAAAGTAAAAATCCAGTTCAAAATTGCTAAATAGTTTTCCCACATTGCTTTCAAGAAATAATTTTTCACTGCCATAAAAAAATATTCACACCACTAAAAAAAGAAGATTTCCTCTGTCCCCTGTAAGAAGACCAGTGGTTTTGCATCACCATCTGCGATGTCATTTGACTCTTTTAAAGTAGTCTGACTGCAGTTCTGGGTGTGGAATTTGTTTAAATAAAAGTTCAAAGTCTTTGGCTCTCCTCTTTCAACAGAAGGATTGTCCTCTCCAAAATGAGTCTAAAGTACCATCCTTGCATTGCCAGGTTGTTTTAAGTCCCGTTGTCTTTCCCCGAGTTGCAGGGCCACGGTGGGCTTGGAAAAGGGCAAGGGGGAGGCTTTGAGGCAGCAGATCAGCTGAGAAGGGATCCACCACAGAAGGAGTAACGTCGAGCTGCAAACCAAGACCAGAAGCTGTTACAAACTGACCCGATTTCGGCTCTGAATGTCACCATGTCTAACAGGCAGAGATCTACAGGGGAGAGCCAGGGGAAGAGGAGTGAAGGACAGCTCTAAAACCAGTATAGATCCTTGCTTTTATCCTGAGGCTGCAAACCTGAGAATGGAGAGAAGAAAAAAAAAAGGGAAAAAGAAAAATAGGTATAGGCACTTAGGACAGAGAAAGACAAACTTCATTACTGCCGCAAGAGGTCAGAGACTCCCAAGCGCTGGAAGGAAGCAGCAAAGAGAAGAACCCAAACTAAACCAGAGACAGATGCACATCCCTTCTCACCCAGCGTGAGGCCACTGTGAGGAGCCCTTTGTGGATGGAGTAATCAAACTGTAGTAAGAAGAAGAAGGGACTTTCCCTGTCTCCACCACCGCTGCCTTGGGAACTGCTTCTGCTGGCTGTGCCTATGTCACCTTCCTGTCCCTACTGTGGCATCCGGCCTTACATCCAGGCACCTGACCAGGCCTGAGATTCCAACACCAACCTGCAATTCTGCCTTCCTTTCAAAAAGTGGGAGAAAAAATAAGGAGAGCCTAGAAATGAACCTTCAATTTTATGGCTGTCTGCACTTGTGCCCCTAGGTCAGCCCATGGAGGGAGGGAGCCCTTGGGGTGGCTCTGGTCTGCTCCCAGCTCTCACTGCTTAACACAAGAGAAGGGCCAAGGCCAGGATGAGACCAGTTTAAAGCGGTCAGCTTCTTCAGGCCATGTCTGGCCCAAGAGTCTCCTGAGAGGGCCACCAAGGACAGAGCTCAGGTGTCTGCCATGAGACCTCTCTCTCCCCTACTTTATTTACCCAAAGCAGCACCCCAGCTCCCCCTCCGCAAGGGCTACTTCCCTGTCACCTTAAGGATAGCCAGTCAGGGGGTAGGCGACAGGGGGCTGTGGTCGAGCTCAGCTGGGGGCTGCCCAAAGGGGCCAAGAGAAGCTCTTTACCTGCATCCACGTTGAGGCCAAGGCTCTGTGCCATGTCCCCTGTGGTGTTGGGGAAGGGTCCCGGTGTTGTCCAGGCTGCAGCGGCCCCCGCCTCGCTCTTGCCCAGTTCGCACTGGGGGCTGACTGGCGTGGGCACGGAGGCAGGCGTGAGGCGGTGGGGGCGGACGGAGGCAGTGGGCACTAGCAGCGAGCCGTAGCGGGGGTCAAAGTGGGGCCCGTAGCCCTCGTGCATGGCGGCAGGGGGGGGGGGGGG